GAAGATTAACCTGAAGCAAACATGTGGAAGGAATCTGTTCCAGACTGCATTTGTCTTTTGCCAAAGCTCAGACTCTGGCACAGGATCGGGAACGTTGGAGGCACTGTCTGACGCGTGTGCCTCCGCCACCCGAAAGGAAAAGCGGCGATAGATGATGATGGTGATGAATCGCTGGACTTCCGCACTTAACAAAATCTGAACTTCAGATATCGGAGAAAGCTTTGATGTACAGCCGCTGTTCTCCAGATTGAGACCAACAACTGCGGCAAATTCCATGAAAGACAGGTGCCAACTTGAAAACAATTCTTTTCCAAACTCGGCTTTGCCTAGCTCAGGACTGTTGCAGAACCATGAATGTTGGAGATGCGCTCTAACGCATCTGCCCCGGAGTCCTTAGATTATCGGAATTTAATGACTCCGAGGTACAAACTCATTGTCTTTTTTTGGCACATGATCCAGTGCATCATGTAGTATGGTTTTTAATCCATGCCACTGAAATCTGACCTGTTGACTTTTGAAAGCACTAGAAAGTTTTTTTCTGTTTCTCGTTTCTGATAGTTTATTTACTCGTGGTTTTAGCGTTCTCTAGGTTTAAGGATATGGAAAACAACACTGGAAATTCATTATTGTAAGTAAGTCAGTTTATCTACGGGTACTGACGTTCTTTGTAACGATTTTCTTATTAACGTTTGTAGTATTGAATCTTCGTCAGCTTAAATGTCGTTTTTGTTTTAAATACTGCGGTATTCCCGCTGGTTTTAGGAACTGTCAGAAGCAATAGCCGGTGCTTTAGAAATTTTTTACTTTTTCTTTTCTATAAAATGTAATCGCCCTATCTTAGGTTCAAAACATGGTCGGTTCTTGTGACGTGAAGTTTCCTATTCAATTGGAAGGCTTATGCCTGACGCATTCTCAGTTTTCGACTTATGAACCAGAGTTGTTCCCCGGTCTGATCTACCGAATGGTGCGGCCGCGTGTTGTGCTGCTGATATTCGTTTCCGGTAAAGTGGTGATCACCGGCGCCAAGGAAAAACGCAACATCGACGAAGCGTTCGCCAACATCTACCCGATACTGAAAGGGTTTAGAAAACCGTGACATCTACGGAGTGCGGAAATGATTTTATCAGTGGATGTCGAAACGATCAAATATTCTGATCTTTCACTGTTCGCATGCTTTCTTTCAGCCTGCGACGTTAAACTGTACAACGGTGATGCTACTTTTGTTTTGTACTTTTTTACGTTGCGCATCATTGTGTTTTTTTCTGCTATTCCGTTAAACGGGGTATAGTACTTTGACGTTATCGTTCGATTCACTTTCCTTCGTCAACTCGATTCGGGGTTTAGTCATCGCTGAACAATCAAAGCAATTCACTCTGTAAGAAATCTGCTTCCAGACGATCTGTAACTAATACTCAATGTACATGTGTGCGGTTATAACAGAGCCTCAGGAACTAGAAGCTGAACGCTGTTTTTTTAATATTT